ATCCCGGCGGCGGAAAAAATAAAAATGACAATAATAATAGTAATATTAAAAAACAAAAAAAAAATCCAAATATAAATATCTCAATCTCCTCTTTGTGGTTCATTATTTTCCCTTAAACCAATCATGGACTTGATCAGTTTCTTCTTTGGAGTTTCAGGTAATCAGAAACTTCATTCTTGTTCATTATGCTAGTATAATTTGCCCAAACATAATGATAATTCTTCTCTTCTCGTTACGTTTTCAGGCAATGTCACCTCACTGATGATATTTCTCTCGCCGATGTGAGTTCTTGTTACTTTAATTACCTTACATACGATGGTATATATATGGATTCTATTACCGAAGAAAAAAAGGATTAAAACTGGACTATAGTCCATCTCTTGATCTGAAATTTTGTCCATTCATGCAGAGGTACATTCTTGAAGGTGGTGAAGAACAAGTCCACCGAAAAATATGACAGCCTTCCATATGTTTGTGCATTACTGAGTTCATGCCTTTGGACTTACTATGGCATCAAAAAACCAGATGGATTACTTGTTGCCACAGTCAATGGATTTGGCATTCTTATTGAAAGTGTATATGTTGCTTTGTTTCTCCTTTTTGCTCCTACAAAGATGAAGGTAAGCCCTACATTATCGAAATAGTTATGATATTAAAGGGTTTCAGATTATAAGACGACGTTTTCCAAAAAAATTAGGAACAAAACCTCTTATTTTGATTCTGAATCTACTTTCTTGGAAGAAAATAAGTTTCCTTTTTTGAATTGCATTGAATAAGAACTACCAGATTTTAAACTTTTTCAGCTGAGATTTTCGAGATACAAACTTGATTCTTGATTCAGCAAAATTTGCATTAGTTTCTTGTCAATGAAAGTTTGATTATGTTATAATGTAACAAATTTTTTGACTTCTGACTTCTTAACCAATTAGAACTCATCCATAAATTATCAAATCTAGTTTAGATCCTGGAATTTAATATAAATTTCTCTACTAATTTTTCTTTTTCTTGATATTCAAGGCTAAAACCATGGCTATGGCAGCGATTTTGGACGTCGGTTTTCCGGTTGCAGCTATTTTAATCACTAGATTAACTCTGCAAGAGGAAGCACAGATTAATACTTTAGGATTTCTGTGTGCTGGCCTGAATATCATTACATACGGCTCTCCTTTAGCCGCAATGGTAAGAAACTACGTTCTCAATAGCGAAAGCGCAACTTGCTATAGCTGTAATCTGATAGACTGACGCAAAATTATGTACAAGGCTCGAGGAACAAATTGCATTAAAATGTCTCACTCTTTTTCATTGTCATCATCCTTTCATATCATATCAATTAATAGTGATGTTTTATAAGTAATTCATTTTCAAGAATAGCTTGCTTCTTCTTCTTCTTTACCTAATCTTCCACCCTCTAGTACACAAATATCCTCACTGGCGAACATTAGAAATAGTATCGTGCGAATAAATAGTACTGAATTTTATAATTGATTTCATTTTTCATTAGACAAACATGTGAAATTTTCATAATGAGATCTTTGTCATTTTTTATAATATATTGAATCACGTCATTTGATATCTTGAGTGGTTTAACTGCACTTAAATGTATTCATTTATATGTATATCCTCAACGAATTTCGTATGAAAATTTATTAATTCATTGTTAGCTTTTGATATTTTCAGGGTAGAGTGGTGACAACAAAAAGTGCCGAGTACTTACCCTTTTCCCTCTCATTCTCCATTTGCATAAATGGAGCCATCTGGACGATTTATGCAATATTAGTGCACGATTATTTCATCGGAGTAAGTAATTTACATTTATTCACAATTATAATTTTAGTGTGCACATATAATTGCAATCGAATAGTCAATAAATTTCGTAAATATCATACAAAATGATAGTTTAAAAAACGTACAATGTCTATTAAAACCCATGATAAGAAACCAATTGTTTTAAGCTCAAGACATGTTATATATCAGTTGTCGGATAAAGGGAATTAAGGAAGACAAGACCTGTCGAATTTTCCTTATTAAAGTTTCCAACTTTCAACGGGGATGAATAATTATAGTAATTTTTTTTAATGATTTATTGTAATGTTTACAGGTATCAAATGGGTCGGGTTTTGTACTGGGAGCAGCACAATTAGTCCTCTATTATATGTATCCATCAAAACATAAAGTGGGCGCATTGGAGGAGAAAGGGCAACATGAACCCCTTATTCTACCTTCAGAACAAGAAGTTGACTGCAACAATCAAGTTTAGAAGTAATAGAATGTAATTTGAACAAATTTTATATTATATGAGAATAATGATGATCATCTCATTTGAAAATTTTAAATTGATTGACAACGTGTGCTTTTAGTTTTCAACACATCTCAGGTTACACATCACAAATGAATTTAGTGTGACCACACGGTCAGGGCTTTCACGGGTACCTTGTATGTAGTTAGGTAAACTTGGCCAAAATATGACACCTAAAAGGCTCGACATGCACAATCATATCCTATTCCTATCCGAAGATTTGTCTATGTGTGTTATTCTAATAAATGACAAATGAGCCTATAAATTCCCCCGTTTTGGTACAAGTTTATAAATTTAGCCAATGTTAAACATTAATTTCAATTCTATATTCATAATTACAATTTATTATTATCCACTCATTCTGTACAACCAAGTATTATTTCTCTTATATACCATTTATAAATTTTTCAAAGAAGGCTTAATAAATGAATAAAAGCGAGATTTAAATCTAGAATATTTACTTGATCTAATACCATCTCAAATCACATCTAAAATCTTATACGGGTAAAGAGGAGACATTCATTTAAAAAAAAAAAAAATGTCTTATACACTTCCATTTGTATGACCAATTATGTAATATTATATTACAAGGTAAAAATTATACGAAGTAAAATTTATTGTGCAAAACATTATTAGATGCTCAATGTGATACAATCAACTCTTTTTCAAGTTATTATGGTGGGCTCCATTGATCAGTGTCATCCTTTCATTGACTTCTCTACCACATCGATCATCTTGTCTACATATCAAGCTTAGCTCACAACTTCGATTTGCCCTGAGGACTTAATAAAAATATTATTGGTGAATCGACTAATTATATACAAAAATCAGAGGCTTGTTAGATCAACCAAGTCGAGAAGCGGTGGGAGTCAAGGCAAGAAACATGTTGGGTGCATATGAGTGGCATGTGTTAGGTGGTTCTTTAATTTCGAACGAACTAATTGATCCCTTTCTTGTTCTTAGAGATACTGAACAAAAACGCGGTTCAATAATTGATTAAGAATGATTTGACTCATTTTGGGAGTATATGGAGAAGTGTGGTGTGAAAGAGGCTACTCCATTGTCCATTTGATGGCAGCAGACTTAAAAAAATTTAATATACATATAAGGCAAATCAGGGGCAAACTGTACTAAAATTAAGAGTACGCGGATTGGCGACAAACAAGTCTATCGAGTACACTACGAGATATATATATCTATGAAAATCGTGAACGTCACAAGTGAATGAATATGAGGATATAATACTGGTTATCAGGGGTTTAGAAATCGCTTTCTCTTTTAACGTTTGACTATTAAAGTGAGGCTTTTTTTGGGGGGGGGGTGAGTTTTGAAATAGTGATTTTTCGAAATATATATGATTCAAAAGTAGGAAAAAATTTTGAATTTACATGTAAAATATTTTATTGTGAGAATGTATAGTCGAAAATGTGTTTAAGAAAAAAATATTTAATGATTGTTAAACAGTGGCTTTATAAAATTACATGAAAAGTTAATGGGAGCCTTCACCCAGATAAATAATTGATAATTTGTAGTGAATGGGGAAGTCAGGTTGAATTTGACATCGAGTCAAAAATGGTCCATGGGATTTTGACATTTGATACCATCTCACACCTCTCAAATTCTGCTTGACCGTGAATGTACTCTTCGATTTATTGCTAGATACAAGGTACACTTAGTCTTAGTCAAAAAGGTTCAAAATATATCGAATAATATCGTCTAGCAAAATATGGGAGATATTGTTAACTCTGTTAACATTCAATTTCAAAAGTACAATATCTCTAAATGCTATAGCGTTGTAACTTCAACTTTGAGAAAAACTTGTAAAGTCACACAAGTCTAAGATAATGTTAAGCCCTCGTTTGAGATTCATTCTTTAAAAAATTCATTTTCAATCATATATTTTTCAATAAAAAAATTTACACGTAACTTCAAAAAAAAATATCATATTTTTTTAACTACGCGTTCTTAAAAAAATCACTGCTACAAAATAAATTCTCTTCAAAATATGACTTAAACAAACCCTAAAGTTGCTCGACTGCGGCTACCCAACACTTTACTCAGTAGGACAATTCAAACCCTTGTTTGGCTTCAATTTTTTTAAAACTCATTTTTTCTTAAATTCATTTACCACATGACCTAGAATTTTTATCATCTTTTCAAACATATATTTCATCATTTTTTTAATATCAAAATTTACAAAGAATTAAATTTAGCCAAACAAAACAGGGATTAAATATCATAATAACAAAAAGAATCTACACGCGTCTACAGTAAAGCATGTCGATTATATTTTCAGATTTTACTCACCGCTGGATTTGTAAGCACCCTGATCTGTAAACTCTCATAATTTATTGAAGACCAAAAATCATTGGCTTTGCTTTTGTTTTTCTTAGAATAATGCAGCTGTTTTCTGTTTTTTTTAGAAGAACGCAGCTGTTTTTGGACAGAATCAGGGATGTTTTCTCCAGAGTCCAAGCTTGCATGAATAGGATCCATGCATGAATCATATTCATGCAGACGTGTACTTTGAGAAGTGTCAAAGAATCACAAGTTAGTGCTAATTAAATAAGACCAAATACCCAATTAAATATTGCCAAGAATATTCACGACGCATTATTACTTATTAAATATATTTTTATGCATAAAATATTTGCCATATCCCTATCTTATGATGCTATGAGAGAGACTAATCTCGTTTTAAACGAAATTTGGATTTTTTATAGTTGTTTAAAAAAAAGTTGAAAACGTAAATTACCTTAATAAAAATATAAAAAAATACAAAATTAAAATAGGTTTGTTGTTTTTTTTTTTTTTATAAATTTATTCTTCTCTTTTTATTTAAATATTATAGTTTACGCATACATAGTTTAAATTTTATTTGAACATAGTTAAAACAAAAGAAAATATAAGTAACTAAAGCGAATGTTGCCATTATCCAAGTGTCGATTAATTTTCAAAATCGAACAAGAAGAAGAAACCAATCTATTATTATCTCAAAATTTAATCTATCAATTCAACATTAAGAAAATCTACACTTTGCTTCATTGTCTAGATTATTTAAGCGTTCCTGTATCAAACTCAATTTAGAGAAAACGAGGAATCAAAGGATTAGGGTCCGTTCTCTTTGTTGTTTTCGAGCCATTTTCTATTTTTGATTTTCCGAAAGATGAAAACATGTTCTCTTTCACGTTATCAAAAGTGAAGTTTTGAAAACAAAAAAAAATAATAATAATAAATTGCACTAAAAACTGAAAACGTCAAAATTAATGTTTTGAGTGTTTTATGTAGAAAACACGGGTTTGATGGAAAACAACCCAAATTCTAAACCAACCCTTACCTCTCTCTCTCTCACACTCTCACTGTCGTCCTCTTTCTTTCCCGTAACTCTTCTCGCCTCTCCATCTGTAGGGTTTTCTGTGCGCCCCCGCCAACCTAGGTGAAGTCTTCAACTCCGACGATTTCCTATTCTCCTTGGTTCAGCTCCTCTATGGGCCGGTTTATTGCATGAAGAGGTGTAAATTTATGTAAAAATTTCATTGATTTCGTTCGCATTTCTTCCAATTTTCAACTAATTATACGTCTTCGCTCCTGTTGCTATATATTTCGTTGAAATGTTTCGTTACAGTTGAAAAATTGACGTGGGTAGCAATGATTATACTAATTCTTCCTATTGATTGTTGTTGCCACGGCGTGAGAAACCATTTTACACCCACAGAATATGAGCTTCGACCATCTATGTGTATTTGTTTTCATCTATTTCTTCTTAGTTTAATATCCAATTTTGGAAGCTGTGAGGGGTAGATCTCAGCTAGTGTATTCTATGTTGCTAAAAAATAAATGTTATCTGTAGCCAAATGTGTGCATAAACATAGAAATTGCTTTCAAGTCTTGAAAGAAGTTTATAATTGAATTGAATGAGTTGGAGCAATTGTGATGTTGGTCATTCTGGGTTTTTCATTTTCAAGGATTGTTGTCTTTTGATTTTATTTTTTTTGGCAACTAATTTCAACGAGACTGATTGAATATGCTTGTGACTGTCGTGGGCCTGCTTCTCTTCAATTCTATGACGAATTTTATTTTCAATATGTCTGTGTTTTCAGATATGTATTATCCTTGATCCCTCGTAGGTATAGATTGGGGATTTCTCGAGAGTTTAAGGGATGATTCTTTTTCTATGTGTACATATATGTGTCTATTAGTGTCCATTCAATTCATTAAGAAACAAAGACAAATAGAGAAATTTTGAACCTTTCTAGAATTTCAGCGGCTGTTATGTTAGAAAAATCCCCTTGCCTACACATGAACAAGAGTGAGACTTAGCATCAGTTGAAGATCTAAAACGGCATCCACACATGAAACTATCAAAATCTTGTAAAATATGTTTCTTCAACGGTTTCAGATTTTTGCATTTTTATCCCTCTTTTCTTCATGATATTATCAAGAAATACTCAAAAAATGTGGGGAAAGCCAGAAAATGTAATCTGACTTGCATGTATAAGAATACCTGCTTCCAATGGTTGCATATGGTGTGCAGATTATTCTATCTTCCTGATATGATCCAGGAGTCGAGCCCAACAAAGGCAAGTGGGAGACGAGATCCGTTGATAGTCGATGGCGGACCAATGACACGATCAAGGGCAAAGCAAGTGAAACAAGCGATGAAATTGCTCGTTCAAGAAATTATTGATAGAACTATGTTCGGGACTCAAAATGTAGCAACTTGGGTTGAAGGCCGAATCAACTTGGATCAATTTGTTATCAAGCGACGAAACCGGAGGCTAAAAACAATCCTATGTGGCCGCACAGGCAAAACACCATGCGGTCGTACGGTGGCATACTGAAAATCAATATGACATTTCTTGTTGAACCATGCGACCGCCTGGAAATACACCATGCGGCCGCACAAGCCAAAAATTTGGCGAATTTTCCAATTTTGGCCGAATTTCCTAGTTTCGATAGAATTCTTATGAAATCAAATTATTACCATAATTTGATGGGTTTTGGACGTTTTTACTTATTAGTATAAATAGAAGAATACTTTTCATTGTAAGGACTTTTGACTTTTGCTTGAA